ATTCTGAATACATTTGGAAGGCAGTTTACAGAACACACCAATGGATCGGATGTGGGTCGTGAACCAAAGGTGGACCCCAAATACGGTGGCCCACGCAATGGAAATAGAAGGGCGACGGAGGACAAGAGGTGAAGAGGCAGCTCAGGAGTCTGCCTTTGAAGATGCCGACTGTGTGTCCACTAAGCACAGAGCACTGGCTGGACATCCACGTCCGGAGACCAGGGCAAGGTCCAGACTGGAGATTCAAGTTCGGAAGCATCAGACAGTTCACCACTCAGTTGTGGTGAAAGCCAGGAGACGCGATGGACCCGCCTGGGCAGTGGGAATCCCTGGGGACCTGCCGAGCTCCCAGGTGAGGGAGACAGGAGCCCAGGAAAGAGCCCGGGAGGAAGCCAAGGAGAGCCCTGAGTGTGTCCTGGAGAAGCCCCAAGCAGAGAGTCTCAAGGAGAAAGGACTCGGCAACCACCAGATGCACCTAACTCATCACCTAAAACAAGACTGAGAACTGGCCCTGGGACCTGGCGACATGGAGGTCGCTGGAGACCTTGCCAAGAGCTATCGGGGTGAACAGGTGAGTACAAAAGAGCGTGGGAGGGAAGGAAGCAGAGACGTCAGGACCGGAGAAGCCCGTGGGGGGAGGGGGTGTAAAGGAAAGCCCAGCAAACGGATGATGCCGGAGTGGCCTTCGTTAGCAGGTGCGAGGGGACACGCCCAGCAAACGGATGATGCCGGAGTGGCCTTCGTTAGCAGGTGCGAGGGGACACGCCCAGCAAACAGATGATGCTGGAGTGGCCTTCATTAGCAGGTGCGAGGGGACACGGCCAGCAAACGGATGATGCCGGAGTGGCCTTCGTTAGCAGGTGCGAGGGGACACGCCCAGCAAACGGATGATGCCGGAGTGGCCTTCGTTAGCAGGTGCGAGGGGACACGGCCCAGGGATGGTGGAGGGCTGCTCCTCGGAGGTAATCCCTCCACAGCAGCCAGGGTGCATGAAACCAGCACAGGTCGGGGGTGCAGATCATTCCAGACTCTTCGACAATGTTTAGCAGCACACGCCAGCAGCCTTGAAGAGGATCCACGCCTTTCGAACTATTAACTCCACTTCGGAAAGTGTTTCCTAAGGAAATAATTCCAAACACAGAAAAAGTTCTCTGCGTAGAAGCTCATCAGAGAAATATATGTAATAGGTCGAGAAACATCTCAATATGCCACAATAGAGGGTGATGGAGGACACAGGGTGGCTCTCGTCACTGGGCTGTCAGCTCCATGAGAACAAGGACAGTTTCATCTACTGCTGTCTCCCCAGCACCTCCCATGTGTCTGACGTATTTGTTAAATGAATAATAAACCTTATAAGGTTAAGCAAAAAAAAGATATAAAATCACCCTTAGCCCTGGCCGGTTTGGTTCAGTTGTTAGAGCGTCCGCCTGCGGTCTGGGGAGACCCGGGTTCGGGCATGTACCTTGGTTGCAGTTTGTCCCTGGCCCTGGTTGTTGTGCGGGTGGCAGCCACTCGATGTGTACCTTTCACATCAATGTTTCCCTCTCTCTCTCTTCCTCTCTCTCCCTCCCACTCTGTCTGTACAAAAAAAAAAAAAAATCACCCTTAAATATTATATATAACTATGCGTACACTCATAGTATGATCCCAACCATGTTGAAAAATAATAATAAAACAACACTAGATAAATAAAAACTAAAGAAATAGCTCCACAGTCTATAAATAATGATTCCCTTTGTGCAGTGGAACATGCTTTTCTCCTTTGTTTTATTTTTTTTGTTTGTTTTTCCCACATTTTCAAGACTGAACGTGATCTGTTCTGTAAAGAAAAAGAACAAGCCCCGGTCGTTTCTGGGAAGGGCGGGGCCGGAGCTCCTGCACCAGGACCTGGTGAGCGCCCCTCGCTAAAGTCCCCGCGCTTCCGTGGGTGTGCCTGCCGTCCCAGCACTGTGCTCTTCTGAAGAGAGCTTCTCCCCCTGCCCTCAGGGACCTCAGGGACGGGTGCTCACCTGGCCCGCGGGGGCTCCTCCGGGACTTGGAGGGGTCCCGGGTCCTCACCTGGCCCACAGGGGCTCCTCCGGGACTTGGAGGGGTTCCGGGTCCTCACCTGGCCCATGGGGGCTCCTCCGGGACTTGGAGGGGTTCCGGGTCCTCATCTGGCCCATGGGGGCTCCTCCGGGACTTGGAGGGGTCCCGGGTCCTCACCTGGCCCATGGGGGCTCCTCCGGGACTTGGAGGGGTCCCGGGTCCTCACCTGGCCCATGGGGGCTCCTCCGGGACTTGGAGGGGTCCCAGGTCCTCACCTGGCCTGCGAGGGCTCCTCCGGGACTTGGAGGGGTCCCGGGTCCTCACCCGGCCCACGGGGGCTCCTCTGGGACTTAGGTCCCGCACAGAGGAATCAGCTTTCCCTGCAGCATTTTCTAAACTCACAATTGGCTGCCTTTTCAAAAGTCCTACCCAGCAGGACAGAAGCGTGATGGCACAGTTTTAAGTGAAATAGAGCAGAACACAGAAGGGCATGTGCGTAACAGTGTAACTATGCAAACTGTTCGTTTGGCAAATATTTATTGAAGGAATGAAAAGACTTCAGAAGAAATATGTTCATATTTCAAATACAGCCAGAGAAGAGACGACCCAAACTGAATCCACCCTGTTGTCAATACCATTTTACAGCCCTCTCTCCAGGACCAGGGTTCCTAAAGGCCTACCCCAGGTCCCACAGGGGTGTCTTCAGGGGCTCGTGGAGGGGCTCCAGGCTCCAGGACCACCTGTTTTTCAAGAGCAGAGCGTCTCGAACGTGATTGTGTGCACCACCAACCTAGAGATCTTGATAAACGCAGACTCTGATTTGAAAGTCTGGGTGGGAAGAGAGAGCCTGCGTGTCTAGCACGCTCCGGGTGATGTGGAGGTGTTAGTCCTCTAAAGACCGGTTGAGCAGCAAGTTCCCAGGGTGCTGGGTAACCAGGCAGTTCCAAGGGTCATAGGAACCAGGAGCAGCCGACAGCCGTTCAGGCAGGTTGTGTCCACCGAAACAAGGTCAGGAGAGCACAAAAGACACTTAATGCGTCCTCCACCCACTGCCCCGATTCCAATGCCAGCACCTTCACCGGATGCATAGCCTGGTCCCCCGGTCCTCACACGGGCTGGCACCCTAATGCACCCTTGTCCTCAAGCATCTTGACACCGCTGAGAGGAAGGATGCGAATCAAACTCCGGGCAACCCCTTGGGCTGTGGAGGGCCCCGAGACCTCCAGTTCCTGAGGGAGCTCGGTCAATGACATCTTGCTGGGATGGGTCCCCGGGCCTGGGCTTTGCTGGCAGGTGGTTGTCCTGCCAGCAGCAGAGGACAACAAAGGACAAACACAAGCTGCAGCCAAGAAAGGGGCTCGATGATCCATCCAAAAGCCAGAGTAGAGTTGGACAAAGGAACAAAATGGGAGACGTGACCAAAACCTGGGACAAAATGGAGCGATGACTCCAGGGGCACTTGCTTTGGGTGTCGGCCGCACAGGTGCTCGGGTAGGGCAGGTCAGAAAGACAGATGAGGCGGTTCGGTCCCCGGGCCTTTCCGGATCCTCCGGGTGGAGCCAGCCCCGGAGCCTCACAGTGAGGCCCTCGGGGGTTCCGGGCCCTGGGTGGCCATGATGGGCCAGCCACTGTCCACTCTGCAGCAGGGTGGGTGGGTCTGGGCAGCTGAGCCAGGCTGAGCCTTCCCATCCAAAGCAGTCCTTGAGCAGGCTTGTCACGTCCTTCCCTGCCAGGACAAGCTGCTCGGTCCGCACACGGATAAAGCCTTGGTTCTGGCTCAGCACCCAGACGCCGCTCCTTGCCGTCCACGGTGAGATATCCATTCTCATCACACCCTCTCTCCATTTCCCCGCCTGGCGAGAGGAAGGGGCACCCTACCCTTTTCAGCCGCTACTCCGTTCAACCGGACTCCAAGGACCCCTGCCCCTCACCACAGAAGGCCGCTGGGAGGCCCAGCGATGTGAGGCGGCTTTGGAAGACGGAGGACATCGCCCAGAGCAAGTCAGCTCAGCCGTCCGAGGGGAGAATGAAGGAGGGGTCAGCAGCGTCCCTGGACGGCTGTCTTGTCAAAGGGTCCAGGCAGCAAGGAAAAGCAGGTGACAGGGCGTGGCTGCAGCAGCCGGAGCCCTCCGTGCCGGAGCACGACACGGGGCACCGTCCGCAGCGGAGCGGGCAGCTTTCCCACTGGCTACCAGGCCAGGCTTTCTGGAGCCCGCTCCCTGTGCCAGGGCCTGTGCGAGGCACGGAGGATCAGAGCCCCATGGCCACACAGATGTCCCCCTCAGGGTCCTCACAATCTTGTCAGGGGGACACAGGCTTGTTTCCATCTACGACAGCAGATGCCGTGAACGAGGAAGAGGAAGGAGTGGGCTGTGAGCTCCTGGAACTCCTGCTGCTCGGGCTGATTTTCCTTCTGCAGAGCCGCTGGAGGGCCCCAGGCTACCAGGGCCTGCTCTCTGCCACTGGTGTGCTCACCAGGTGACAGTAACCCGCTGTCACGCCTCCAAGAGTTTTACCGCTCACAGAGCCCATTCACAAAATCATCTCTCACGGAGGTCAGGGGCTGACCACGCTCCAGGGCTCTGACTCCACGCCCTCCTTCCCTCACCCCAGCACGACCTTGCGGTCTCACGGGTCGAGGTGAACTGATGGGTTCTCTGGCCAGGCATCTGGTGCTGAGTTACCAGAATGAACCCTGCCTGCTACTTGCAGACCATCTCTGGCTCTGGCATGTGCTCAAACTGTAAGACATACTGTGGCCTAAGGAATCTAGGCTCAGAAGTCCCCCGGGAACAAACAGCTGAACCAGCTGAATGCCAGGCTTCACAAGGCAAATAGATGCAAAACTGGGCTCTTGCCGGTCTGCCTGGGCCCAGAAAGCCGGGAATGGTGGAGCACCACCCTCGCTGTGCCCACCTGGCTGAGTGCAGGAGCCTGGCCATGAGCATGGCAGGGAGAAGCTCGGGACTGGGCTACATGGGGTTGGACCTGCCGCTGAGCCTCAGGGACCCTTTGGAGACTTCCGTGTGCACCGTGGACAGGGGCAGCTGTTCGACCTCCTCCGCGGGAGCGCTCTGATGGCAAGTCAGCACCAGGGTCTTGACCTCCTTCTTGAAGTTGGTGTTGAGGAAGCCGTAGATGAACGGGTTGATGCAGGTGGAGGCCATGGCGAGCAGGTGGCACACCAAGAAGATGAGGTTGCCATGACAAATGGGGATGGCCTCGTGGTACCAGTCCTCCAAGCTGTTAAACACGTGCAGGGGCAGCCAGAGCAGGGCGAAGGCGGCCACCATGGAGACAAGGATCCCATTGATCCGCTTGACCTGCCAGGCCTGCGAGCTGTAGGTGCCCTTGCGGAACACCCTCCTCTGCTTCCGCAGGCGCTGGTAGATGCGCGCGTAGCAGACCAGGATGAAGGCCAGAGGGACGCAGTACTGGCAGAGCAGCAGGAAGGTGGTGTAGATGACGCGGTGGTGGGCCAGCGGCCAGGACTCGGTGCAGACCACCTTGTCTGCCAGAAACTCCAGAGCCTTGGAATGGTTCCTGTGAAAGACATTCTCCAGGACGCTGTTGGCCAGAAAAGGCAGGGAGAGGAAGCAGGCGATGAGCCAGATGAGCACGATCCCCAGGTAGGCCTGAGAGACGCTGGGCTTCCAGCCTGTCGGGTTGATGATGAGCTGATGCCGCTCTAGGGCCACAAGGACAAGCGAGAGGATGGAGACCGTCACTGACATGCACTGGATGAAGGCTGACATCTTGCAAAGGGCCTCGCCAAAGACCCAGTAGTCCATGATGGTGTAGATGGCCGTGAGCGGCTGGCAGATGAGGCACATGAGGAAGTCAGAGAAGGCCAGGTTGGCGATGAGCAGGCTGGTCACATTGGCCTTCTCCTTCTGCCTCATCGTCACACACATCAGGCAGAGGTTGCCCAGGACCCCCACAATGGTCTCGATGCTATAGGAGGTGACAATGAAGACCATCAGGTCCACAGAGTCCTGGCAGTGGTCAGAGAAGTTGTACACGGTGCCCTTTGACTTACTGCTGTTTTGACCCTGCGGGGATCCCGGGAGCAGCAGGGACAGAAGATGAGAGATGTTCATGGTGCGTGCGAGTCCCAGAGGCTCAGTGATGACACCTGCAAGCAGAGAGACACCAGGACTCAGGGAGTGTGGTTCCGTGTGAAACCCAGGGAGCGCAGGACACAGGTGTTCACCGTCGCTTTGACCCCAAGGCTGGGGCTTAGGGGACCTGAAACTCAGAGATGTAGAGCAAGCTGCCCAGGGTCACACAGCTAATAAGATATGGGGCCCAAATTCAAACCCATAGCTGCCTGATGCCAAAACTTGTTCCAAAAAGTCCCCCCGACCTCAGGCCTTGAGGCTGTTTGGATAATAAAATATAGTTGAATCGTAGTATGCAAAGTTCAGGGAGAGAGTGGCCCAGGGAGCATGCATAGAAATCCCCTTGTCACATTGTGTCCAAACAGAGACGGCGTTCATGCCACGGTGTGCTAAGGTCCTTCCGTGGCCGGCCACGCCCTTTAGGACAGAACCAAGACCTTGGGGCTAACACAGCGCCCTCCTGGCCTCAGCCACGACCTGCCCTGGCTGCCTTGTTTCTCAGAGGAGACAGAAAGTCGAGGACTCCCAGGTATGCAAACACTGGGTCATCAGCACACTGGCTCTCTCTTCCTCCCCCCGCCCCATGTGTGCACACTAGCCTGGCCAAGGTCATGGGGTGCCCGCCACTGGCCCATGGGGCAGCTTACAGTTCCCAAATACACCAGCCTGGTCCGCACCTCCATGCCCTGGTACACCTGCCCTTTTTCTCCGGTGCCTCCCCAACCCAAGGGACCCTCTGCCAAGGATACGTTGGAATTTGGACTCCAGAGCCTCCAGGTGGTAACGCCAGTGACAGATGTTTCGAGATGGAGAGTTACCATTTCATTACACACACCACTGTGACTCGCCTTCTTCACAAGTCCCCTGGTCATGATTAACCCACAGGCCGTTCTCAACCTCCAGGGGACGTCGGAATGCCCGGGAGCGTGTTGGAAGTGCAGGCTCCGGAGACCCTCACCAGGAATCACAGTGACCTGAATCTGCGGTGGGGCCCAGGAGTCCGTACTTTAACAAGTGGCCCAGGTGACGCTGATGCACATGGTCCTGGGGACGCATTTCAATAAACAATGTTCACAGAGCAATACTCTATTTCAGATGTTCTTTATGTCCCATAAGATGGCCATGGGTATTAGTGAACATATATCTGTTCTTCATGATGCAGGGCTATGTTAGAAGCAGTTGTCACAGAGCATGGGCAAGAGTAACCGGAGACCGTAAAACCTACTTGTCAGCCACGAGAACGGTCCGCACTGAGCACCTGATCTGGCTTATAGAGATGAGTCCCGTTTGGCCCTGACGAGATCAAGGCATGAATTCCACCGACACTTTACAGTCTGCTTATTTTGGTTACCAATCTCATAGGTAAGAAGATTTTTCTAGCATCACAGGCAACTGGCAAAACAGGCCATTTGGAACTGGGCGTGACAAATGACACACACCAGGGCCAAGTGTGAGGTCCAGTGTTCGAGTGAAAAGCAGCCGCCGCTGCCTGGAACTGTGGTGGGTGCACCGTGCTCAGTCAGAGCAGCAAGTGGGTCAAAAACCCGAGGCTCTGGTTGCCCCTGAGCCCAGGCTCGGTCAGTGGTGGCAGCCACACCAGTGGTTCCAGGCTGGCCGGGTGCAGCAGATCAGGGGCAGTCACCAGATGGGGTGGCCTCCAGAAAGTCCCCTGCTGCGTCCCGCATCCACTCCTAAACAGGTGTCAAGCCCCGTGCTACAAATAGGGCTGCAGGGGTGACACAGGCAGCCATGCCCCCCACCCCCAGGCCAGGGGAGCTGACCACAGGCATGCAGATGCACCTCAAAGCCACACTGCCATCGCCGAAACCAGTACCAATGCAACGCCTGTGAGCTCTGGATTTCGTTCCAGGCAGCTCTCAAGACGAGGTGGGCACACCTGCAGCCCTGGGGGAAAGCCTGCTGCCCGCCACCCCCTCAGTCAGAGGAAGACTGAGCATACAAACACTAGCAATCCCCCAGAGGGAGAATGGAGAGAGGGACGCCTGCTTTGTCCCCTAAAATTTCAGCAAACAGCTCCTGACCCCGAACGCCCGCGGTGCCCTCGGTCCATGCATCCCTTACCTCTACTCGCAGCTCAGGGGAGCGGGAGCGTCCACCCACGTTTCAGGAGAGATCGCTGAGGCCCGGAGCCCACGCCACAGGAGGGGCAGGGTGCTCCTCCCAGCCCAGCTGTGCCGATCCGAGCCCCGGCTCCTTGAAGCCCATCCGGCGCCCCCTCCGCAGGCGCCGGGCGGCAGGCAGTGCGCGAGGCTTCCCCGGCGGGCCCCTCGAACCCTGGCGCAAACCCTTCGGCCCCGGGACCCACGGGGCGCGCCGCGTGGCCCCTGCCGTCCGGCCGAGGCGCCCTCTGCGCAGAGCGGAGCCGCCCTGCCCTGCCTGCTGCCCGCTGGGCTCCCGCCTGCGCCGCCGCCGCCGCCCCTGCGCGCAGCCCGCGCCCGCCCACGGGGACGCTCGCTGCCCGGGACCCGGGCGCCTGCCTGCCCGGGAGCCGCGCCCGCCGAGCTGCAGCCGCGGACTGGACCGCGCTGCTGTCTCCGGAGCCACAGGCCCTCCCAGCCTCCGCGCCAGCGCCCAGGGGCGCATCCACGGGGCTGTCCGGGGAGCGGCCCGACCTGAGCAGGGGCCCCTTCCAGAATGGCAGCTGCCATTCACACACGCCGCCCCATCTGATCGTCACCACAGCTCCGAGAAGTGGGCCCTTTTCCTCCTGTGTCACTGTGGAAGCCAATGAGACCAAGACTGAGCGCTGTCCTGAAGTCACCCAGCCGAGAAGCGCTCGGGCCCAGCCCGCCAAGGTCTCCGCTCGCTGGCCCCTGAGCCTCGCTTGCTGCCCCTTCTTCGGGACCACTCTTCTCCCTGACGCGACTGCCTGGAACCCCGCTGCCCTCCCTCGGACCCCAGGCCACGTCCTCTGTGCCTCGACGCAGCCCTGCAGCCCTGCGCGCTCTACGCAGGCGCCTGTGTCCGCACAAGCGGCCTTGCCTCCCTGCTCCCCACGTCTGGGCCCCTGTCTCTGCCCCAGAGCCCAACACGGGGCCACACATAGCAGCGTCTGACGGAGGACGGAGTGGGACCCAGCTGTCATGGTGGCTTCCTGCAGCCCAAGGGCAGGATAGTTCCTGTCCAGGACCCTCCACAGTAGACTCCTGTCTGTGCACTGACTCTCTGCTCCTCGTGGAGCAGCAGTGTGGGGCTGAGCTGCCTCAGGCCTTGCTGGTGACACCTAGAAGGCAGGCAGCCACCTGGCGTGTTCGACAACTGCCGCCCAGGGGACACAGGCCTGGGCCCTAGCCCCCATGGGTGGAGACAGCGCAGGAGCTGAGAGGGCGGTGTGGGGCTCCCTGCCAGGCAGAAGCACCTGCTCTAATTCCATCCTCACACCCACCTGGTGAAGTGTGGTCATCCCATTTCACAGATGAGGAAACCGAGGCTCAGACAAGTAGAGTGACTTGTCTCAGCCACTCAACTTACAGACGATGGAGCTGAGATTTGAGCCCGAAGCCCCAGCTCTTCTGCAGCATCTAGTACCCCTAAGAGGGGAAGGGAGCTGCTCACGGCTGGCCCGGTGAAACCAATACTCCAGGAGCTAGCTTGAGACCCTGTGCATCTGCTGTGAGGGAAACAGCACCCCCTGGAGGCAGCAGAGGGCTGCACCCAGCACAAGTGGCCAGGGGAAGCTCCCCAAGAAAGCAACGCCCACAAGCAAGAAGCAGGGAGCTGTACTTCCCCTCTGGCTGGATGGGGGCCAGGACCAGTCTGGAAGGTCCTGCCAGCTGGCCAGGCTGCATTCTGCAGTCTGAGGAGGGGTTCAGTGGGGTTTTCCCTGCACCATAAATGTGGGCTTTGTCTGACGAGACACTGACCCTCAACAGCTTAGTGAGGGGCCTCACTTCCCCTCCCCTTGGGAATGTTCCAGCTGAATCACCTGGGAGCCAAATGGGGGCAGGAATTCTCCGGCAAGCTGGGCCCTGGACAGCTGTCAGTCTGACCTCTCAAGGTCAGTATTCTCCTTGGCCTGAGGAGAAGGCTGCGGGCAGGGAGGGGTGGGCCCCAGCCAGCCCCTTTGCTGACAGTTACCGGCACTTTCTAGCTTGAGGGCCAGTGTGGTGAGTGGTCACATGCTGGGCACGGGAGCCCACTTGCCAAGCCTCATGTTCTTCTCTGCACAATGGAGCTAATAATGAATCTACCTTGAGGGCTTTTATGAGGAGAACGGAGATGAGATACAAACAGCTCCTGGCACGGTCCTGGCAGGAAACACATCCTGGAGATCTGGCTGCTGTGATTGTTCCTGCGTCCTGGGTGCTTGTCACCTCCCTCCGCTTCCTCCCCCAGCTCACGAGCAGTCCCTACGGGTCCTGTCGGAAACTCTCGCCGCACGCGGGGACCCACCCCTCTCGCCTGAATGTGTCCAACACGTCCTAAGGGGCTCCGCGAGCTCATCCATGGCGAGCTTCTGAATCAGTCTGTCTCTACTTCTCCTTAAGTCCTCCAGGGCACCTCCCCCAGGACCCTCCTCCGATAAGCTCCTTCGTCTGAGGCAGTACCACTGCCCTTCACAAGGGCTCATTGGTCCCATAAAGCAAGAGCTGATTGCTAGGGAACAAGAGACCAGGAAAACAAGAAAGGACCCTTGAGAGTTAAACATATGATTGCTGAAACTGAGAAGTGTCTTAGTGGAAGGGATGGAAGGACAAGGTAAGGACATGTCTCATAATATGGAGCAAAGAGATGGACAACTAGGAGCAAAGTAAAAGTGTAGATAATGTGTACAGATGATCTATTAACTGACTGATAAAATCTCCAGGAAGGAAGAACCGAGAAAATGAAAGGGAACATAACAGTTACAGTCTAAGCTGGGAACAGAATTCAGCCTCAGACAGCCCAACGAAGAAATGTTAATTCAAACGTAATATACAGGGTTAAAGGAAAATACAAGAAATGGCGAGGCACCCAGA